CAGTTAAACGGGCACATTTAAAAACGAACCGTCAAGTTCAAAACGGTACCGTTTGGGGTTGCCCATTGAATTCCAAACGGTGTCAACAGGGACCGTAGGATTAAACGAATCTCAGCAATTGAGATCTAATTTCGCCCAGAAGTATAAATAGACATTTTTTCTACAGAAAAAGGTTTACTTGCATTTCTTTTCCTGCAAAACTTTTGCGAGAAGCTTCATTGTGCATTTTCCGTTTGTGAACTGCGGTAACAACTGGGGATCTCTACATCAAATCTTTCGAAGCCGAAATCAGGTATTTTACACGAATCTCTTATTTCAAGTTAATCGAAGTGTTTCTCTCCTTTCTCCCCTTCTGTGGTTAGTTTAGAATCTTTTGGAGGAAGTTAGGGTCGGAGGCGAGAGGGATTTTGAATGTGATGGGGGTTGTGGATTTTTTTTTTTTTCTAAATCCTGACTTATTCCTCCCCCCTACTTGGTGCAGAGTTTGAGAAAATGTCATCAGAAAGAACACAAAGTATAGTAGGGAGTGAGGTGGAGCCCCTGGACTATGGGGGCATGGACAGTGAGAGTAGTCCGTCCCCGTCTAGTTCGGAGAAAACGGTGGAGGGGGTGAGAGGAGATGAGATGGTGGAAGTTGGGGAAGGAGATGTGGTAGAGGTGGGGTATAATGAGGGAGGAGGGGTTGAGGTAGATAGTATACCCATCACCGTAGTAGAAGTAGAAAGTAATGGGGAGAGAGGTTATGATAGGAATGCAGAGATAGTGGAAGAAGTGAAGCAGTATCGATCTGAACTAAGGACCAGGGAGGACCTGTGTCACTTAGTGGAAACGTACGAGATCTCTTCTCGGGTATTAGTTAGGCCAGCTGGGGTAGAGGAGAGGGCATGTTCTGCTCCTCGGGATCCTTGGATGCCCGTATATTCCCATTATTTGTATGCTGGGCTTAAGTTTCCAATTCTCGAGTTGCTAATAGGTTTATTGTTAGATTACAACATAGGGTTGACACAGTTGGTCCCCAACGCAATGAGGGTAATAATAGGTTTTTTAGTTTATTGCCGAGCTCAGGGGATCAGTGTGCCAACTGTTAATATGTTTAAATATTTTTTTGTTTTAAAGGGGGTAGTAGGAGAGATAAGGGGTGGTATTATTTCACCCTGAGGGTAGCTAATAAGGAGGGTAGGATTTTATTCACTGCGGGTCCTTCATCCATTAAGGGATGGAAGGAAAAATTCTTTTTTGTGGATGACACGGAATGGGGGAAAGGGGATGCTGAGGTGAGGGCGTTAGTCTCCTGGAAGGCCAAAAGGGCCAACCAGAATAGGTTTAGTTTGAATGGGGACGAAGAGGAAGAAGTGGGGAGGTTGGTGAGGAAGAGGGGGGATGTACTAAATATTATGGACCTCACCAGCGCAGCATGCATAGAGGCTGCTGAGCTCTATGGGCTAAGCGCTTTGAGTGAAGGTTTGTTTATCATGTACTGTAGCGTTGAATGTATAGCATAGAATTGTAACTAACATTGTGTTTCTTCCTTTGCAGCTGACATGGAACAGTTTCTGAATACTGCTGGAGGGAAGGCTATCCCCAAGAAGCCAAGGAAGAAGTCAAGGACTTCAGCTAAGCAAGTGGATGAGGGGAGAGCTGGGAAGGAGGTAGTGCCCTTAGCACTAGCTGAGGTGGAGGAGGAGGTGCCAGCACTGAAGATGAAGGGTTGGGAGGAGAGGAGGGCGCTGCAGAAGAAGTAGAAGGTGGTGGAGGAAGAGGGGAGTGGGGTGCCTGAGTTCGTACCTCAGCCACCTCTTGTTGAGCTGGACCCCGAGCTCAGACAGTTGGAGGAGGGGGCTGAGGTACGAGCTCCTGGTAAGGGGAAGGGCCCTGTTACCTCGGCGGTGTCTCAGAGCAGCCT